TTTTAATGGACAAAATACTTGACAAAGCTTTAAATTAAATCACCATTAGAATATTAAAACTTGCCTCCTTCTATATCAAGGAAGTGCCTGCCAATGAAGCATCTTTGTGGATCCACTTAATTATATTTTTTACAGCTGTGTATTGTTTATGTATTAAATACAGATATCGTATCTCATATTCAATGTGTTTATTTTTATCTTTCACTTTTTTATTTATCATTTACAACTTTAACAGAATATCAAAAAATATTATAGTTTTTGAGATGCAGCATCTATATGTAATGTTGATATTGTCTTCTCCAATTCCTTCAAATTAATGTTAGAACATTCATATATATTGAGTTAGTTTAATATGTGATTCAGATTGAACTATACAACTTCTGTACTAACAAACTTTTGCTCAATTCCTATTGAAATAATCTTTAATTTTTTTTTAACATAAAATTTGACATAACATGATATATATTTATAAGGTGTTCGAATTTAATATCGATAACTGACTAAAGTCTTATCATAATTCTTCAATCCGCAAAATACATTCTTTCTTTTAAAAGATTCCCTCGCATCTAACCACTATTTATTTGTTAGATAGTTTCACAAACTTTATTAATAAATGTATTTTATTGGAATCAGATGTTCTTTATTTTGGTAGAATCTAAGTTACTCAATTTTTATACTGTATATTAATTAAATCATCATACGATGGATCATATTAAAACTGAACTAACTCCAAAGAAAATCTTACGGGAGAGAATCCAATCCTAAATCTCACCATTCATCGCTTTTAATTACTTTAACTATATTTTCTTTTGAATTTTCATTGGAAGGACTTTAATTTTGAGTCTTGTAACCCTTCATCCACATTCAAATCATAACAAATAATATAAACCGGACAATATATTTGAGGTAGTGCAATTTTCTTCCTTACTCTATCACGTGTCAATTGATAGTTTGGAGTCATTCTAGATTGTCCCCCTCATTAGAACTCAAAGTGAGAGCTTCAACTTCCTCCTCATCTTTAATTTCACTACTTATAACATCCACCACAAATTGAGTGTGTACCATAGTTTATGGGTCTTTCACTTCCATGTTATTGTACTTTATCCCCATACAAGTCTAAAAAAAGTAATGTTTCTACTTAAGATAAATTTTGATCCTCTAAATTCCATCATCTATAATTTGTAATCCTTCACGTATTTTGGATGACTAATAAAGAAATACTTCACAATTTTGTTGTCTTGATTGATATGTGAAAATGTCAAAGTTTTAAAGACCCTCAAATTAAAATAATTTTTTGTTTTCCGCTCCAAACCTCCCTAATATATTTATGAGGAGGGGCATATGTTGATTAGGTAAGTTTATATAAAAAAAACACAACTTAAGGTCATAAACGTTTCGGCAACCCAACTCTCGTCAACATGTACCTTATCCTCTCCAAAATGGTCATATTCATTCGTTCAAATATCATATTTGTTGACATGTCTCGGCAATGAATCTATTCCTCTTGATACCTTATTTCCTTTTCTTTAACTCATTAAATTGATCTAATACAAAATTCAGGCCATTACCAGTTCTAAACACATTGAGTTTAGTTTCCAATTAACTTCTTAAAAGAGGATGTTATTCTTTGAACTTTTCAATGTGTCACTTTTAAAAAATTTTAAATGTAGACATACTCTTTTTACAAAACCATTGAGGAAATATAAAACTAACTCCCCCACCCACCCACACATACCTAATGAGTTGTCAGTTGTTACTCTTGTTGAACTCCATAAATCTGAGTGAACATACTCAAACGGTATGTTGAAATTATATATGTCACTCCTAAACTTTACATTGTGTTTTTTGCTTAAAATTAAATGATCACAAAATTTTAGTTTGTTCAATTTCTCACTTCCTAGGAAATCTTGTTTAACTAGCTCAACCAAACATCTTTTGCTAACATACCCTAATATAAAATGCCATAGCTTGATTTTGTCATGAAGTCTTGATTATCTAACGATAGTGGAACCATCTAAAATATACAATTCATATATTTTAAATCTTTTAGCCATAATCAATGCATCGTGCAAACAATTTAACATTCCACGATCAATTTTAGTGCAATAGCCTAAATCATCAAACATGCTTACAAACAACAAATTGTGTTTAACATCGGAAACATATCTCACATTGCGTAGAAGAAACTCACTGTTATTGAACATTTTAAGTTTAATTGTATCAATACAATAAACTTTGCAAGTCTTATTGTTAGCGAATCAAATGACCTTACTTTCTTTCATCTCCAAAGGCCCAACATATTTTTTCTCTTAGGCATATGTGATTAGAGCATCCTAAATCCATGTCCTAACTCTTATATATCTCTAAACTCGTCACTATTAGTGAACCAACACTATCATAATCATCCTAATCTTGAGTCCATAATCTAGCTCTTCTCTATCAAACACAATCGCCTTTACTTTCCCTCTCGTGACAATACTTCTTGAAGTGACCGATTTTATGACAAGCAAAGAACTTTAACTCCGACTTATCAAAATCTTAGACTTGGACTTCGCCATGGAATTTTTCCCTTTTGGTTTCCTCAACTCTCATTCATGCCTCTTGAAATAATCAAGCATTCACTGCTTTCTTAAGTCTTCAACTATTTCATATTGGTTAACATGTAGTTTTTCATAGCCAATTAGACCTCCTTCAAAGTGATCAAACATTTCTTACCATAAAAAATGACATCCTTAAAACACAAGATATGGGTAATAAACTTAACAAGATTTGAGTCTTGTCTTATCAAAAAACTTCATCTCAATATTTTACAAGTCATCAATGATAGTGTTAAGTTATGCCAATAACTCACTGATGGATTTGTTCTCCACCATTCAAAATTAGTAGATTTTTGTTTCAGACACAGCCTGTGGGCCAAAAATTTGATCATATACAATGATTTAAGCTTGAAGGTTTTCTCTCTTGCGACCCTTGTGACTTTATCTCTAAGGCATATGATAATGATATTGTTGGTCTTCTCTACTAATGGTAGACCCATAAACATCACTGCATCACCTTGCAATGCTTCAACACATTTCTCTTAAATTAACATTGCTTGAATTTTTACTTTACCCCACCCTAAGTTGTTGTCTATAGAAAACTTTTCAATATTTCATTTATAATACATGATGCTGACTTATAAACTTAACATTTTTTTCTCCACGGTGGGTGTCATTTGTTGTGAAATTGATAGGTTCAAACACACTAAGAACTTTGTTATATAAGACAAAGAAGAGTTACAACTAAAATAAATAATTTTAAACAAAAAAAAATCTTCAAAACAGAGTAAGCAAAACCACAAGAAGAAGAGGAAAATAAAAGACGAGTATAGATATAGTTTGTTTACCTGATTCGATCAAACCGAGATCTACTCTAGTAAGAAAAAAGTTCTCTGATCTAGTATACTTCAAAATTTATTATAAGAGATTACAAGGAAATAGTCTTCCGAGCGTATAAGAATATTTCGTTAGTCTTCCAAGCTTATAAGAATATTTCCTTCTTTTTTACAAGTGTTTCTCAATTTCTCCTTTAAATTATATTTACCTGGTGTGTATTTGATCTATTTAAAATGCTTACAATAATGTAAGGTTTCATCAGGAAGTTAAGCATGCATAGATTTTAAATTATGCCAAACATATATTGTTAATAGTGTTGCATATCTAGGACTAAGTTCGAACCCAAAATATATAGTTAAGAGAAAAGAGTTCATTTTCAACTCAACCAAGTGCTCTTGGGTGATAATAAATGTCATATTTGCTTACACAAATCATTTAATTAATAACACAAATTATTTAACTAATAATATTGAATGAACTATATAGTTATTTTGTAATTGCAGATTAATAACACAATTCATTTAACTAATAATATTGAATGAATTATAGTTATTTTATAACTGCAAACGTATTTACACTTAGTTATCGTGATTTATATTTATTTTTTTTCAATTCAACCAAGAGCAACCAAGTGCTCTTGGGTGACAATAAATGTGATATTTGCTTATACAAATCATTTAACTAATAACAGAATTCATTTAACTAATAAAATTGAATGAATTATAGTTATTTTGTAATTGTAGACGTATTTACACTTAGTTATCATGATTTATATTTTGTTATTTTGTAACTGCATAAGTACATACTGTACTTATTATCACGATTTATATTTTTTTTCTCTTCTTTTATTATTGTCATTCTAACAAGTTTATTACATTTCTATTGTGTCTATTTTCTTTATGTCACTGGTTTAAATTTAATGAAATTTTGTTTTTGGTTTTTTAATAAATTAATAAATAGAAGAATCCCAACTACTTCCAAATAAATGAATCTAACTAATCCATGAGACAAATAGTTTTCCTTCATCCATTATTCAAAAGTCATCATTAGTTGATAGCTGTCTAACTTATCACCTATTATTCGTTGCTCACGTGCACAACTTGGAGAAAACAACACTTTGGATTGAATTTTTTATTTGTTCAATTTAGTCATTTACATTTTATGTATCGAATTTTAGATTCCACAATGATATTTAACTTAAGGGAAATTAAGTGTATAGAACTGACTTAAATTTTATGCATGTTAACACTCTAGTTCTTAGGTTAGTTCTTATGCATGTTAAAAATAAAACTTAGGCATTCTTGTAATTTCCCATATTGATGAGTGATCACAAAACTTAGCCAACATTCTAATGTGTCAAATATCAGTTTGTTTTCCTATAAGTAACATGTTCTTAAGGTCATGCAGAGTAAAAGATTTGTGAAACAAAAGTCTTGTTTTGTTAAAACATGCAAGCACCAAAAACATGGACAGAAGAAGATATTTGTACACTTGAAACACCTCTAAACACAAGTGTACAAGAATTTGCAACTGCATATAGAAAACATGACACAATAGAACACAAATTTTATGTGATAAATATGAACGCATGCTCATTTCTCATTTGCATTAAGAACTAGACAAATAATGACAAGCACAATACTAACCAACATTCTCTTCATTCTTCTCATGCTGTGCAATGCATGCATAACTGCAAGCGAATGTCCTTCAGGACACAAACAGAAATCATCTGACGTAGAAGAATTAAGGAAGAGGTTTGAAGGTTGGACGAAACGACATGGTCGAAATTACAAGCATAGTGATGAATGGGAAGTCCGTTTCAGCATTTACCAAGCAAATGTTCGGTACATAGAATGCAAAAACGCGCAGAAAAACTCATACAATCTCACAGATAATAAATTTGCAGATCTTACAAATGAAGAATTTAGAAGTACTTACATGGGTCTTAGAACTAGGTCGCATTCACATACAGGATTCAGGTATGATGAACATGGTGATCTCCCAGAAAGCAAGGATTGGAGAAAGGAGGGAGCAGTGACTAAAGTCAAGAATCAAGGCCGATGCGGTAATGTTTCTTGTAATACAAGTGCATAGCTGTTAGGTGTTGCAGAATATGTTATTTCAATTTCACCATAGTATGCAGTTCATGTTATGTCTTCATGCAGGAGGTTGTTGGGCATTCTCTGCAGTTGCAGCGGTAGAAGGCCTCCACAAAATAAAATCGGGAAAATTGGTCTCTCTATCGGAACAAGAACTGATAGATTGTGATGTTGAAAGTGATAACCAAGGCTGCGGAGGTGGCTTAATGGAGACAGCATTTACATTCATCGTAAACAATGGTGGAATAACCACTGAGAAAGACTATCCTTACAAAGGGGTAGATGGTACCTGTGACACGGAAAAAGCTAAACATTATGCTGTGAGTATAAGTGGATATGAAAAAGTTCCTGCTGATAATGAGGCTAAGCTTAAAGCTGCAGCTGCTAAACAACCTGTCTCTGTTGGAATTGACGCGGATGGTTATTCATTTCAACTTTATTCAAAAGGTGTTTTTTCTGGCATTTGTGGAAAGCAGCTTAATCATGCTGTGACTGTAGTTGGGTATGGAGAAGAAAATAGAGACAAGTATTGGATTGTGAAGAATTCATGGGGTTCTGAGTGGGGTGAATCTGGCTATATCAGGATGAAGCGCGACACTTTTGATAAAGCTGGTCTGTGTGGCATTGCAAAATTAGCCAGCTACCCTGTGTAGTGTAGTTTAGCTTATTGACCTGCAATGGTTGAATATCACATCAACAAATTCTAAGACAAAAGTGATGCTCTTTATATAACTAATGAAAAGGGAAATAAAAAAGATGAGTAGTTTGATTCTATATGCACTAATTTTCTTAAAAGTAATAAGTAGTCAAACAGAAGGAGTGACTGATTTAGGTTATGAACATATAATTTGATAAAGTGTTGACAAGTGAGTCGATCAAATACTTTGATTTCATAGTTCATGCTCCCAAATATTTTGCTAATCTGAGAACAGTGTTTACTTCTCAAAGTGAAAATCCATCCTATAGTAGTTTCATTGAGATAAGAATGGTGGCACCAATATTCAGAATTCAGATTGCCCGAAGACCTGGTTATATGTACCAGCCATTTTAGCATATAGAACTGAAACTGGTCCACTATAAATAATTCAATATATAAGACTTGAGTACTATTTTGAAAATCTTTGTCACACAGCACAGGTCAGATTCCATGGACTAGTACTGGCTAAAATATATTCCTCCTAGATATACAGTATAATTTTATTAACTTGTGATGAGGAATGAATTACAAAGCAATATACTCTAAATTTGGTTATTTTTTCTCTCATTTTATGAATAATCCGGTGTTTCATACCAACTTTAATTGAGTTATTAAACAGTGCGAGACCTGACAAAAAGGTAACTAGTAACAACAAAACAATAATCTTAATTGATATAATATTGTTGCAATTTGGTACACTTGTCAAATAATCAACAACCATGATTCAGTCACACATTGTAACCTACATAGCTTAAATCCAACAGGATAATCCTATCTCTAGGAAATCAATATTGTTAAGCTTTCCATGTTTCCCGTTTTGACCGTAGCTTTGCCAATAATTTCATAATGGTTCCTCAAACCGGGGTCGTCCCCAGATTTCACCATTTGCTTCATCAAGTCTGGTGCGCCTCAAAATGTACTTGCGGATCAACTAAAATAATGTTGTATGATTCTCTAAATCAGGAACACATCCTCCTTAACCCGGACTGTTCAGGAGTTTGACTGCACCCAACAGTTGATCAATGGTACATAGATGATAGTAGGAAAATTATAAGTGTCAAGAATCAAGATATCCAATAGTTTGCATCTCAGGCAAAACAGTAGATATAGATTGGAGCAAGTGTTTGGGCTACAATCAAGTATTCTAGAGGAGTACATTATACGGTCTTGTGAAAATTGAAAAGGACCAAAACGTAGAGTATGTTGTAGAAGAACAAGAGCAAGAAAGAGGGCATGAGACCCCTTAGGAGGATATAAGAAATAATCTAGGAATAGGCTCGCTGAGGCTTACAGCAAGGTTTGAGAGGTATTAATTACTGCAGCATTTCACCAATAATTTTCTCTCTTGGATTATGGAGAGGATGAAGAAGAGGGATTTGATATTTTACAGAATTACAAATAATTGACAAAGTTGGGAATTTTCACATAGTTTGTTATTTCTCGTTGAACTCTAACGGCACTCAAGGTTTTGTAGTGAAGATAATGGACAACTGAAGGACAATGGTTCAAAAAAGGGTGGGAATGAAGAAGAAAATATGCAGTGTGCTTTTTATCCAATCACCATTACTAATAGTTTAATATAGTTCTGGAGTACGTGGTACCATAACGAACATGAAACCTGCAACGGTTTGTCAAAATAAGATACTTAAATCCCTTTGGCTTTTCTCTTTCTTTCTTAAAAAGTTAAAATCAATGGAAAGTTCTTAACATATATAATCAAGAAGTACTAAAAAAGGGAAAATGAAGAATATATTTTTAAATGTGAAAATATTACCACATTTAAAAATCATGTAAACCCCAAAGTCTCTTTCAATTCAGCGGGAACGCCTCCTCCTATATCTTGTATGGCAACGGAAACTCCATAGAATTACCAGAAAAGCAACTAGAACCACTTGTAGAACAACTGCCAGCTTCAAACCTAAACCATCAACTTCCAATTTATATTTTCCCAAAATTTTAAACACGTTCAAAAAGTTGTTGGATTAAAAAGAAAACTAACAAGTTAGTTACCATTAAGGCTGTGAGCTGATTCGTCTGACTTCACTCCGTGTTCTGTTTCTTTTTCAGCAAAAACATCCAGATTACCTACCTTTGAATCATAATTTCCATACATGTTCTCTGTGTTTCCACCCATGACACACGTATTAGGACAAAGAACGATTCCATTGTATTCATCACTCCCGTCACAACAATCTGCAGCAACATTGAATGAAAATCAGAGCTCAAAATTGAAGACTGAAGAAATGTGTTACTCGATCATCATCCAGACAATCTCAAAATGAAACATATAAAATCCATCATTTTCAATATTGAATGAAAATCAGAACTCAAAATAGAAGCCAATGACAAACCTAAACAAGAAACATAGAAAAATAAACATGACAAAAACAAAAATACATGAGAAAACCTTTACCACAAAACCGATCATTAACATGGGAAGAAACTATAAACTGTGGCTTGCTTCCTAGGTTTCTGCAATAAAATTTTCCAGCTGAACAAGCTGAAGTTCCTGTAAATAAATGAACAAAACCTCATAACAAATTAAGAAGAGTGTGACATTGAAAGATAAAAAAAAAAAAAAGTAAAAAAAACAACCAATATTGTACCAAACTATCAACCATTTTTGCATAAATTAAGAACAAAAGTTAAACCTAATTCAATTAAGAAAATGAGAAAATTAATCATGTATGATATATGATTGATAGAATAGAATACCAGGTTCATCAGTGCCATCGTGGCAATCACAGAAATTGTCATTGAGACGGTCTCTAGAGAAGGATTTTGAGCCATCCTTGCATTTGATGAACTCGGAGCTATAATATTTCACATCTGAAGCAATAAAATGAAAAACTGAGAAAGAAAGAAAAAAAAGTGAAAAATGGGGTTCTCGCCGAATTGAGGTTACGTACCTAGAGGATGAACGCCGAGGAGAGAAGGGTTTGAAAATGAAAGGCAAGATGCGGTATAGGCGAGGAGAAGAAAAGATGCGACGGAGTGGAAGCAATACGAGTCCATGGCGATGTTCAAGGAGTGCTAGTAGTATTTCTGAATGACTTGACTGTACTTCGTCTCAAGTTGAGGCGAAAATAGAAAGTTGGACAGTGAGGTTAATATTATTCTAGTTTTTGGATTTTGGTGGTTATTTCAAACTCTTCGGCGCTCATACTCGCTCTCATCAAATTCTACATCATATTGTCTTCTCTAAGGACAAGACATCACCAGTAGATACCTCTAGTGCGGAGATGAATAGTGAATTGTCCTTGACTCAGACCACCATCTTGGAACTAGACTCAACTATTTTGGCAGCATGGAATCATTCACCTGACATTTTTTAGGACAATCACAATGCTCGCATTTTCACCCTTGAGTGAGAATTCTTTAACACTTGCATGGAGGATTTTCTCAATGTCTCTGTTTATTGTCAGCGTCTTGACCCGTTGATGAATGTTGGTTATCATGTCAACAACCATTGTCTGATTATCCAACTAATATTTGGGTCTCCTGCAAGCTTACCTCAATGTTGTCACCTTGATTCGTCAAAGTAATCATCTTACTGCATTCTGTTAGGCACGTCCCATGCTCACTTTAGAAGAAACTTGCACTACAAGAAAACATGAAATTAACTAGGGGCATGGGCTAGGGGGAAAATCCCTCACTAAAACAAATCACTTTGTTTGGAGTTAAACCTCTCGCAAAACACAAAATAGGAAGAAAAAAAAACAGTAAGCTAGGGGATACCCCTCGCAAATAAGGAGGAAAAGTTTTTTGAAATTTGAAATATGCTTTTACTAGGGGTCAACGCAGAATTTGGTGGGAATCATGGACATTTGTGATGGGGCATCCCCTCACCACGTCATGCTTCACAATTTGCGAGGGGTCTCCCCCTCACCATTTATCATACTTTAGTCAAATCAACATGCAAAGACATTTATTCCGCTGCCACACTACCTGCAACACGCCAACACTGGCTAGGGGTATCCCCACGCAAATGGCATATTTCCTACCTGCGTGGAGCATCCCCTCGCAAGCAATGTCACGTTATTTTAACCGTTGGGATTGGCGTGGGGCAGTCCCTCGCAAATGACAGCAATAAATGTCTAACGATTTCCAATTATATCTGGCAGAAATTAATTATTCCTCATTTTTCTTCTCTTTCTTCCTCCATTTTTGTTCTTCTCCTTTCTTCCTCCATTCTTCTTCTTCTCCTTTCATCTTCCACCATTTTTGTCTCACTCCATAAAATTCAAAGTAAGCATTTTTAATATGTTATATTATTTTCGTATTTGTAATTTATTTTATTGTTTAGATTTATTAATTGATTTCTTTTATTTATTTGTTGTGTTGCATGTACCGTGGATAATATATAAAGTTATCAAATTTTTGCTAAGAAGAGCTACAAATTTAGGAGAGCATCAAAATGTAAGATTATGGAATGCTTGCCTTTCTCATTTATTTGAATGGAATATATATACATCAATGTGTAACATTTGGTTAACTATCTAATTATGATACAACATAATTATAGGAAACTAATTATGACTAATTACAACAAAATATTATATTCTATCATACCCCCGCAGTCGAAGCGGGAGGTTCACGGACGCTTAGTGTAACACCCTTCTAAACCCCACAGAAAATATAAAAATAATCAGAGTAAAATTAACATGCATTCACGAAGGGAGTTACACATAACTTTCAAACATCCAAAAACCATCTGTCATTCTCATTAATATTTCAATAAGTAATCATGCTTTACAAAATTTCACTTTGCATATAGCAGCGGATTCATTGGTAGCAAATTCATAAAAGCAATATTTGTGTTCATCATATATATTATCACCACTTGGGTACTAAGGCCAACATCATAATATCTCAATAATATGAAAACATAGTATCACTATAACATAACCAAGCGATCCCAGTGTTACACGACCAGAGCATGACTCGACCCAATATAAATAAATTACTAAACAGCTACACCAATAGCGATCTCGAAACTACAAGCGGCTCTACTCTTGATACCTGCACGATATCATATAGGACATCATTCCAGCAGAAGGGTGAGAAATATTATCATAATAATCAATGCATACAATTATATATATACACAAATATAGAATACAGATAATCCACATTTTCTCGCCATAACTCATTTTCATTATCAAATGCATCACAACGTGCATATAAACAAACATAGACATTCATCAAGCATTTTCATAATTGCGTTCATTCATAAATCTCACATTTAACAATTCATGCTAATAAGCATACTTTCGTACCACGATCATGTATTCACATTTCTCAATTACGCAATTAATACACATACGCATATTCTACAATTCTCACCATACTTCATCATGCACGTATTCATAGTCCTCATCAATTCACATAACATATACATAAGCATATTTGCACCCGACAATTCATATATTCACACTCTCAAATCAACAAGTCATGCACATATGCATACTCCACACAAAAATCACAATTATCAACATTATGAACATTCACAAGCACATCCCTCCATACTTAATTCACAATCATTCTCAAAGCATTTTCACATCATGCATACACTCACATTTCAATAATATTATCATTCACACATAAGCATCTCTTCATGCATGTGTCATATATCAATGTGACTCAATAATTCAATGCAACTCATGCAATGCGGTACCGACTCTCGTTATCATTTTTCAGTTTTTACATTAAATCGGGTCCACTCTTCTAGACCGATAACCCGTTATCTTTTTTCGGTTTTTACATTAAACCGGGTCCACTCTTCTAGACCGATAACACCAAAGACCCGTCCTCTAAGCCTTCAAACCCACTCTTCTAGGTTTGGTACAAGCCACTAGTTTCCACGAAACTAACAGACATTGCCTCTTGACTAAATGATGCATGTACAATCAACCACAAAATGCACTTAAGACCGTTCTCGCATCTTAATCTCATGCATTCAAATAATTCATCTCTTCAAGAATTACATTATGATTGCACACACAACATATTCACATAGCATTCATCAATGTATTCATAATTCAACACTATCACCACATTATCACACGATGCACACATATCCACGATATGTTCTCATGCATTCTATTCATACAACCGCATACAAACAATATGCATTCACAGTTAGATATCATCACTGCATTATTAACAATGCACACATATCCACAATATGTTCTCATGCATTCTCAAGTAATTCATCATACAAGAATTTCATCATGCTTACACGCATAACACATTTACCATACCATGCACATATATTCACAATATATTCTCATGCATTATTCACGTATAATCGCATACAATCAATATGCACTCACAAGTATTAGGCCAACGGCTACAAACCTCATCACAATTCATCATACATTCTTATTCAATTTAAACAATGCATTACGTTATCAAATCACACTTATAATTTAGGATTCACGCCTCACGGCTACCCACATCATATCTCCTCACAATAATTCACATTTAACACCATTAACATAATTCACAAGTCATGCACACATGTCTACAATGTTCTCATGCATACTTATCATATAGTCATACACCACATTTGCATACACAAATTATCGGATAATACACACATCTTCATTATCATGTTCTCATGTATTTACTAATTCATTTAAACAATACACACCACACAACCTAGGATTTACGCCCGAAGGCTACCCACAGCACATATCATCACAATAGATCTCATACATACTCATAACATAGAGGTAGTGACCTATGTGAAGCAACCAAAACATCACCACAAGAAAATCACAGCAATGGAACATTCTGTCACATTCGCCTCCATTCGCCTGGAGAACCCTCGCAGTGAATACTCGCTGGCCTTCGCCCGGCGAACTCCCCAGCGAGCGAAGTCAGTAGCTACTGACTTGGTTCGCCACCACTCGCCAGCACACTCGCCCGGTGAACATTCGCCAACAACCATTCGCCTGGAGAACTCGCCAGCGAAGTCCACTGGGACTTAAATCATAATTATTCGTCAGCATTCGCTAGGCTTCGCCCGGCGAAGCTTCGCTTTCGCTCGCCTGGCGAGAGCCAGCGAACCCGCGCAGAACAGAACTCTATTCTGTTTTCTCCTTTCCACTCACCACCAACCTACCAATTAATCATCAAAATCAGTACCAACAGCATAACCACATATCACCCGACTATTCTACGGCATTATTTCCAAGTTCTAACTGATTAAACTACAACTCTACCGATTAAACCTCTTTTGTCCTAAATGGAAAAATGGTGGAAACTCGCAACCAACCAAACCCACACATACATAATCATACACATGGATTAAATAACAATGTTTCTCACCCTTACCTTGGTTTAATCGAAGCTTTGGGTTGATCTTGATCTCTTCCAAGCTTTTCCTCTCCTCTTTTCTCTTTTCTCCTCTTTCTCCTTCTTCCTCTTTTCTTTCCACAATGTTTCTATTATTTTCTTTTCTCTCCCTCTTTCCTTATATATCCCTTTTTATTTTCCTTCCTTTCTATTTCCTTCTCAATTCTCTATTAAAATTCCAATTAATAAAATTAATTCCAAACATTAATAAAAATTCCACTAAATTAATTAATTACTATAATTAATTATTTAATGAAATTCGGGTTGTTACAACCCTCCCCCACTTTAGGAATTTTTGTCCTCGAAAATGCTACCTGATTCAAATAGTTCTAGATACGACTTCTGTATCCCAATCTCCCCAGTCCAACTCTCTCCCATCTACCTCTACCAGAGGAATCCCGTTACCTCGAAGTTACCTCTTGTTCGTCAACCTGAACTGACAACGCCTCAGAAATCAAATCGTCTCCCTCTTGCACACCATCCATCTGAATCGATGTACCTCCTCAGCTTAGACGCATGAACATATCATGTAATCCCCATATGTGACAGCGGTAAAACAATCTAACCTGCTATTTCCCCACCACGCTTCCGCTGCGCCACTCTGATATGGATTCACAAAACACACTAGATACTTTCGAGACTCCAAGCTCGAC